AAATCAGTTTATATTATAAAACTATAAAACCATGTATTAATTTCTTTAACCTAGAATGCACATACAATTTTTCATAAATATAAAACTGTTCAAAGTCTCATTAACACAACCAATCCATCACTCAAAGTTAAACACTTAGTATACTCCTCTATAATGATTTTAAAGAGTTCATAAGTTGTTTCTCAGTACTGATTACCAATAAAGGACTGATTGGGGCATAGCCACATAGCCACAATGTCCTGGATACCATGACCTAATGGGTCATTGTTTTGTAAAATTATTGAGGAGGAGACCATGCAGTCCAAACAGTACATGAACACAAAGAAACCCATAAGCAGTCGAATGGTCTGGGTGGCTCTTTGTTCAGGGGATGCAGCTGAAGACAGGTTGTTAAACTGAAGGTGCTGGTACTGCCTTTTATGCCTGCACAAGAGGGTCACCATATATCCACATGAGAAGACCATGAGCCGTATAAAAGACATGTCACTCAATATGCCCAATGTAAAATAAAATAAAATAAAATAAATGCCTGAGCGAGCAACTCATGAGTAAAATTGTGCAGGATTGAGTAATAAATATAAGACCATGCATGTTTACTGTGGAGTTGTCAACAGTAGAGATTGAGTAGTGAGCACTCAAGGACATGTAGAAAACCCACAGGAAAACCAGGGAACATAGGCTCTGATGTGGGGACATATTTTGAAAATTTGCAAAGCAGGAACTTCTGGGGCTGAGGGTAATGACTTGGAGGAGACTCAGCAATTGTCCACAGATGCATGGGTTTATGTTTGGATTATGTCCCATTTCCATTGGTGTATGTGTGTGTCCTTCTGCAAGTACCATATTGTTTTGATTACTATAACTTTATAGTAAGTTTGGAGATCAGAAAGTATGATTTCTCTAACTTTCTTTCAAAAACATTTTATTTGTGGTATTTGTGGCCCTTTGCCATTTGGTTTGAATTTGATGATCAGCTTTGTCATTTCTTCAAAAAAAAAAGTGCAATTGGGATTTTGATAGAGACAACATTGGATCTGTAGAACAGCAGAGGTAAAAGAGGGAATACCTCTCCTGTTCTGGATATGAGAGCAAACAGTTTTAATATTTCCCTTTTTAGAATAATGTTAGCTGTGGTTTTTTCATAAACCTGCTTTATGTTTTTGAGAAGGTTCCCTTTTTTTCCTAGTTTTTGTAATTCTTAAGAAAAAATGAACAAGTCTTTAATTTTGTCAAATGCCTTTTTCATATCAACTGAAATTATCATTGATATTTTTATTTTCTGTGTTAATATGATGTATTAGATTTACTGATTTTTTTTTATGTTGTACCACCCTTGCATTCATAAGACAATTTTTTGACATATTTTTTATCCCTCAAAGTCAATAGTTTATTTTAGTCTTGGTTTTGAATATTCTATGGGTTTTGACCAATATATAATAATGTTACCAATGTCTTTGGTATCAGAAAAATATAGACT